ATTTGATTTTGTCCCATTTTTCCAAAATCGTACACTGTGCGCCGTTTGGCCCCTTCTTTGTTGCCTAATTTTCCATCTCACTTTTTGTTAACAGCTACGCTCTCCTGCCTTTTACCACAATAATTTAGACACCGCGACATTCAAGCAATTATATGTATGTATGTATGTAAATATTTATGTTCTCAAGCGCTACGGACATTTGAAATTATGCCAGTTTAGAAAGGTCTCTGACCACTACCGGTGAAGTTAGTTTGCGTGCGTTTGAATTTTTAATTTCTTTTGCAATTTTGTATACTTTGGTCTTTTATTTTATTGCCTTGCAAGCCATTTGCATTTGTTTCTTTATCCTATGAATGTAATTATTTTTTTCTTTATGATTATATACACTAACTAAAAAACCACTGTTATAGCCGATTTTGCATTAATTGCGTTGAATCTGTACGATCCACAAGCAGTTATATTTCCCGATCTGAATTTTGAGTTAGCTCACTTTAGATCTACGGATCGATATGATCTTTACAGTGTCATGGATATGCTTTAGTGCAACAGAGAATTGTCAGACGTATAATTTCCTATAGAGTCGAGATCATAAGGGTTGAAACATTTTATGAGTCTACTCGAACGATGGTATTAATGCTAAAGGACTTTATTAAGTACTTACACAAATACCTACATACATACAGTATCGTTCATACCTATAGCTACGGTGACCATATTTTAATTGTTTTCGTTCGCCAATTCGAATTAACAGTCTTAGGGCACCCGCAGAGTGGACGCTGAAGGACGAGCCGGTCGTAAAGCTGATTCTGATTGGCGCTGATCAAGATTTGGTAATATTATTTGTGCTTATGCACATGTAATTTATTTGAAATGGATTCGTCAAATGAAGAATATTTTGCATCAAGTTCTCTATATGAATATGTTTTAAAGAAGAAAGAGTTTGGAATTCCTCACCAACATATTTTACCCCAAAGAGCAGGAAAAGAAAAAACTTAACCAATCGAAACATCAAAAACAATAATTTTGCGAAAAATAACTAATAACCACCTCTTGTGAAAAGCGTCGTTTCAGAGCGAGTCAGAGTTGAAAAATACTTAACAACTGATATTCTCGCATTGATCAGCTTTACTCTCGGCACCGATCAGCTTCCACTCTGGCGATTTCGTATGAAATTCTATGCTTCGTATGCTTTAAAGATTATCTCTCGCATTCATCATTTCGGCTCGGATTTCAGCGTCCACTCCAGGGTGATCTTAGTATTTTCGAAGACATCTACCAGCCGGGCAGATGCACTCTTCACTTTCCGTGGTCTTCATCAAAAATATGTAGAGTTGGTCTCTTGCGGAGATATGTTCTTCTTAATTGAAACTACCGGGTTCCAAACCGTACGTAACCTGGAACACACATTTTTCTGGTGCTTCTAAATATCGACTTTTTTATAGTAAAATCTTCTAATATCTAAAATTTTTGTTATACCTTGTTAACAAATCACTGTTCAATGATTCGTTCTTAGCTGGCCAGCAAGCACAAGTAGAAAATAGTTTCTTACAGTTTTCAAGGAACTATTTTCCCTATGCACACACATTTATTAATGTTCTCGATAAGAAATTAAAACGGTACACCCAGGCCTTATTTAAAAGACAAAAGGCTCCTTTATTTACAAAGAACACAAGGGTAAAATAAAGGACTGTCTTTTAAAATAAAGGACGGATGGTCACCGTATCTATAGCACGCCATTTCAAAGTGATATTGGTAGCTACTAATGTTTTTTTTTTGTTTTTTGTTAAGAATTAAAATACACTTGATTCTCAACTAAAACCCATATAAACCCAAGTTTAAAACTTTGTAAAAACCACAAAAAAATGCAAAAAATGTTCATCCAAATTTCAAACTTTTCTCTCAGAAATGTTAGAATTTTTCTAAATGACTTCAAAAAAAAGGAGGAGGTTATCAATTCGTCAGAATATTTTTTTATGTATGTTGCCACGTAACTTTGGACCACGTAAACAGATTTTTATAATCCTTTTTTTAAAAGAGAGGTGGTCCCATACTAATCTACTACAAGGTTCTCTTAAATTTTTGTATGAGAATTAAACTCAGTTTTTTGCTTAAAAATTACTTGTTGAATACACAGTTTTATATACCATTAAATTTTAGTACAACTTTCAAGTGGCTCAATATTATCACTGATTTTTTTAGATTTTTTCTTTGTCGAAGGTCTTACATATACAAATAAATTGTGCATTATTGGAATTACGAAATCGAAAATTTATTCTTTTCGTTCCACCCTAATGAATGTAAATAGGACATACATATGTTCACATACGAGTACTAATGCCAATTTGGTGCTCTGAGGTATTCTTAAAGAAAAAAAAAATCTAAAGTAGAACCACATCTGGCCTAGAAATTAGAGTTTCTATGCTATTTAAACTGAATGTACATATGTATGTATATGTACATATATGTATAATGCGTATTAAAAACTAACAAATATTGGCAACTATAACTATCTTAGGTACATGTATGTACATTTATACATACTTGCATACTAGTTCATAAGTATGGAATTATTTATTTTTAAATAAAAAAGTAGGTTAATATGTTTCGCCATTACCTATGTTTGTATGTATCTACATATTTATGTACCTAACTATGTATGTATGTATATATGACCAAAACGTGAGAATCTATGCAACTATGGGGCAAGAAAATACCAAATAACTACAAGTACATACCTACTACTAAATTTGTATGCATGTTAAAATGTTTCTGCCACGTTTTTCAGGTTGATAAATGCAAAGACAGTACCCGTATATATCTACGTACTTCTAAGCATTTCATGCGAATTGTGTTGCAAAATATAAAAGTGTAGAAAAAAAACCGCTTGAAAATGTGGAAGCGTCAAAAACCTGAATAAGTGACACTTTTCCTGCCATAAAAATAGGCTTTTTCCGTACTAGTACTCATAAATATGTATGTATGTGTATGTCGCAATCATACAAGCCCCGCAAGAAAGTAAAACTCGAAAGTAGTTAAACAAAGTCAAGCAGTCGATTGACTGCAAAATATATATTTTTACCGATCTCAATAAAGTAGGGCTGTGCGATTAATTGATTACTCAAAATTTTAATTAATCATAAAGTAAATAATTATTCGATTAATTGGAAATTATGATTACTTAAAAGCTCAGTTACTCGAGTAATCAAGATTTTTGATTAACAAAAAAAAAAAAATATTTGAGTAATTTGCTTTATGATTAATCAACATTTCGAGTAAAATGAGTAATCAACATTTCAACTCTTTGCATACGTATAAAGTAGTTAAAGTTCCTTGATACTGTGAAAACAACATTTCTGTTTTCAAAAATTAAAACGAAAATTTTTTTTCATATACAGAATGTAAAAAAGAAAATAAACATTTGCCAAAGCAAACTCTTTTAACGAGCAAAATTATTTTTTTGGGTAATCATATTTCAAGTAACTCGATTAATCATCGTTTTGAGTAATCAAAATCTTGATTACTCGAGTAATTGATTAACCGAATAATTGATTAAGCAACTTGCTCGAGTAATCGAATAATCGCACAGCCCTACAATAAAGTAATGTACATTCATATTTAAATTAGGGATGGGAAAATCGACTCTCAAAAATCGACTTTTTGCTGAAAAAACTCGACTTCTTTAAAAGAAAGTAACTCCGTGTTGCGAGTAAAGAGTGCTATCAAAATTATGTTCGGTAGCTCATGGGGCTGGAGTAACAGGTGTACTAAGATCCTGCCCGGCAGAAGCGCTAAATGATATTCTCAATTTAATACCTATTGATCTTCACCTGAATAAAGTGTCTATTAAATAGGGCGTAAGACTCATAGACACTTTGGATATGGGTTGATCATAATTCAAATGCAATTAAGTAGCGACCATAGACTATATGGTAGGCAATTTCGACTTCAGCTCTAATGTGCAAGCGTTATTCCCATTCAGAAGTGACTGGAGAAGAGACCGCGCGGCCAACCGAGAATCGATCTCTCTATACACCGACGGATCCAAGATGGATTTCGGTGTAGGAGCGGGAGTCTTCTCTGAGGAACTCGGTGTGTCTCTATCTCTACAGTTGGGAAATGATACAAGCATATTCTAAGCGAAGTTCTAGGGATCCTAGAAGCCTGTAAAAACCTAGGCAATAGAGTCGAGTACAAGAGTAAAGCAACAATATATAGCTATAGAGTTGGAATCTTTGCCGAAACTGAACGTTGCCGGCTCTCGTTCATTTTTGGTTCCAACACTACTGTATTTCAAGCAGAAGTGCTCGATATACCGGTTGCTGCTACGGAGCTGCTCGAAGAGGGTAAATTTTAGGGAAGGTATTCCTCTACTCGGAGTGCCAAGCGGCTAGATATTAGTGCTTGCTCGTCTATTCGGCCAATGTGGAAAATTTTACGCGGAGCACAACTAATTTTGCAGATATTATAACTCTGCGGTAATATAAATATGTATGTGGGTAGGTGTCATAATATACCTTTGATCTCTGGTTCGTTGGGGATATTGATAAATCCCCAGATGGCTTAAGAGTGCAGCTCAACCAAGCAGTGGTAGGTGCAGTGCAGGTAGCAGTGGTAGGACTAGTAGTTTTGACGTTGGGAGGACGTAAATTGCGGAATATTGTTGGCTTAATCGTGATATTCATTTTTTTAAGAGAATACATCAAGAAAATCGGGGTATGAGCCTCGGCTTTATGTGAAATGTTTCTAGAATACAATAGAACTTTGTTCAATTACTTCGGTTCCAGCTTTATGATATCATG